CTTATACAGTGGTAACTCTGCGGCTATTAGAAGGCAGGCTAAAATATAGGTGCGCCACGTGAAGAGGTTTTGGCGTTGCCCATATAGTAGACAGAGGCGTGCATCATCTAGTAGTAGAGAAATAGTCTTTTTTTAGCTGGAGGGTGTTATTCTACTGACCCGAATAAATTCTAGGCGCGACATAAATAGTATAGATGGAAGTCACACATACATTAAATTCCTACATGTAGCAAGTTCTCTGGGGATAGACAGCATGGGACCGGTCAAATGCGGATGAGAGTGGAGTGATTCCCGTAGGGTTTAGAATCCTAAACTGCCGTGCTTTCTTATTTCCCTAAAGGGTAGACTGGTTTGACTTGGAATCCGGAAGCCCCCCCCCCCCCTTAGATTTAGGGCTTGGATCTTGAGAAAGGACAGATTTAGGATCCCAAACGGGCTGCTCCAGTGAAAAAACTTCTATTCCTATCCTAGAACTGCTACCCACGAGATAGTTTTGCCCCTACATTCACGCTTACCATTGGCTAATATATTACCGTAGGTGATGGCTCGAATGACATGCTTGCACTTTATAAGAGTACCAGAGTTTCGTTTTGGTGAATGCTATCTATATTTGTGTCACTTGACAATTGTGATCAAACTTTTGATCACAATCCGACCAAATAAATTACCAGGGGTTTTCTGCTAACTCATGGTGTTAAAATTATAAATCTTTTTTTTTATATCACCTGTCAGTTAGCTCTCAAATAAATTTCAGAGAATTCACTTAGATAAGGTAATTCCTCCACATTTACAAGACATGCTCTTAGGTCAGCGGAGTTTTATAGTACTATCGCACCTCAGTTGAGAATTTGGCTCCTGCAAGTGCAATGGTGAATATTTGTTTTGCGCTTCCTGGTATAGAAGATAGCGCGCTTTCCGATGGACTTGATCTCGACGCAACTGTTAAAAGTTGGGCCCAGAGGAAGTTGGCGGTCGAAGAGGTGGAGGAGGAGCTTGAGCTCGAGAAGGTAAGATGAAAAGTGATAAAATTGAGAGCGATCGAAAAAAAAACTAACTGCTGTACATGCACTGCTCAGGACGCTTTCCTTCTGCGCCTTGTGCTCGCTCTCCTTGCACTCGTCCTCCAGCCTCTTCGTCCAGTTGAGTTCGAACCTTCAAGATGGCGCGACTCCAATGACACTTGACTGCAACTTGTTGCTCGGGTCATCTTCGGGTCATCTTGGAGAGGCCTTAGTCGTCGACGCTGCTTGCGTCACGACTCGAGTTCGGCGCTTCCGCCAAACACTCCCACTCGGCGAACTCCGAGTTGGTCGCGAAAGCCGCAAAATTTCACGTTGCCAAGAGGTTTAGTGACGTGGTCAGCGACCATTTCGTTGGTAGGACAATAGCACACTCGAACTTCTCCTTGAGCAACCTTCTCACGCAGCCAGTGATACTTCGTGTTGATGTGACGTGATCGCTGAGTCACAGCTTTGCTTTCAGCGAGGTTTTGAGCACCTTGGTTGTCTTCAAACATCAAAGTCTCGCCGACTTCAAGGTTGAGGTCCCGCAAAACCATGTTGAGCGCAATAGCCTCTTGAATGCCAGTCCCCATGGCGACGTACTCAGCTTCCGTCGACGACAACGTCACCAGGTTCTGCTTCTTTGATCCTCAGTCGATCAGGCAGCCGTCGTAGTAGATAGCTTATCCGGTCGATGGCTTCGCATTCCGCTCCACCGCAAATGCCGCATCGCAGTAGACTACCAGCCCTGTTTCAGTACCGCTCTTGTACACCAGCCCATAGTCTCTAGTACTGTTTAAAAAAAAGTACCGAAACACGTGATTGACTCCATGCTTCACGCTCTCCGTCAGATGTTCAATCTCCTGGGCGAGGAGTCGAACTGCAGTCGCCAGATCCGGTCTCGAATTCACGGTAAGGTACAGTAACGCTCCGATGGCCGGACGAGGACGGAAATTCGTCACTTCCTGTGCTTGGAATAGCTGATCACGGAAGCGTTTCTCCATCGGAGTGCTTGCAGGCCGCGTTTTACTCATGTTGGAGCGCTCGAGGATTGTCTTGGTGTACTTTTGCTGCCCGATAGTCACTTGGTCTCCGCTTGGCGACCAATTTAGCTCCAAACCGAGAAAGTAACTCGCATCCTCGAAACTATTCACTTCATATGCGGCTTCAACAGCTGCCTTGAAGGGCATTAAATCCTCATCGTGCATAGCGGACACCAAGATGTCGTCCACATACACGAGCACGATCATCAAGTCTTCAGCGCTGCCTTTCGAGAACAGGCAGTAATCAGCTTCACATTGGAGAAAACCTTCACTAGCCAGGAATGCAGTCATATTTTCGTACCAGGATCTTGAGGCTTGCTTCAGGCCGTACAAGGCCTTCCGAAGCCGCCACACAAGTCCATCACCACCTTGGTAACCCTCCACTGGCTCCAGATATATCTCCTCGTCAAGATCGGTGTTGAGGAATGCGGTCTTGACATCAAGCTGCATCCGCTTCATACGCTTCACCACTACGATCACGAGCACG